TCTATTCTTAAGCCAAATCCCGACACAGGGCTTGCCATGGTGCCTGGTTTCTGGCGTCCTCCGACTGACAACGATGTACCTTCCGCAATGCCGTATTGGAAGCGATTCGGAGTGAACTGCCTCACAAACCAGCTCCGTTCCTTCAATATTTCATCAATGGAGGATGGAAGTGTTTGTATCGAAAGCGAGACATTCCTTTCCCCTCCAGTCCTTTCCTGGGGATGGAAATGCGTTGCGCGTTATATTATTAAGCCCACTGGCTCGTTGTCTATCACCATGAGTTTGCAACCCACTGGGGCCGCACCGACGACTGTTCCTCGGATCGGTCTCAATCTCCGTGCAAACTCTGATCTACAGGCGGCACGCTGGCTGGGACTTGGTCCCGGAGAATCATATCCCGACAAGAAGGTTTCCCAGAAGTTTGGGTTGTGGAATGTCGATGACATCGAGTCTCTACAGACGGTTTATGACATTCCGCAGGAGAATGGAAATCGCACACACACTTCTTGGGTGGAACTTCGCGCTCCAAATGGCACGGGCTTCCGTGCAAGCCCACAGGAAAGCACAGTGTTGAATGGAGGAATGGCAAGCTTGAGCTGGACAGCTAGCCAGTACTCCGATGAGACTATTGAGGCCGCACGACACCCTTGTGATCTCATCAAAGATGACGCGGTATTTGTGAGATTGGATGACCAAGTTGCAGGCGTAGGCAGTGCAGCCTGTGGCCCGGGGCCTATGGATGAGCATTTAGTTAAGGTGCAGGATATCACCTTTGGTATGTTATTAGAGCCTGTGTCGCTGTGAAAAGCAGAGATTTAGATTTAGATTTGTTGAATAAGATAAATTACCATGTATATCCTTTGCATCTCGGTCCATATATCTAGAGACCTAAGGTAGTGCACCCCTACCACACCCGAGGTTTCGTAACACTCAGGACAGGTTTTCATAATGAATTGTTTATGACTAGTCTCATTCAACATTTGCCCGATCCTGGCGGGACTCGCCCATGTACCCAGTGATTCGATTCCTACCCATGCAACCTCAATCTACATCTGCTGTGAGGTATGCCGTCAAACCAAAGGCATTAATATTTTTGTAGTGTGTTGTTTCCACTAGATCTACGAACCTGCTCGTAATACCCTAGTCGTTTGCACCGCGTACCGGAGTAGAGCGTTGTTGAAAGTGCAGATCCAGAATGGAAAACTTTGTACAACAAGCAACGGATATTTTGCTATTGGTCAGTACTTCTTTAAATCCCTTGCTTGATTCATATTAGTCACAAAGTCCTTGGCATCCACGAGGCCTACTATTTCCTGTATCAAGACCATGATTCCCACCTACAGGCTTCAAACAGCTTCCCTGGGGGCACTACTCTTCAATACCCGTGATAACATCTTAGAAGTAGCAACAGTCACCTTGTCACGTAAATTGGTGATCAGTAGACTTGTAAATGCAACAATTGTAGTCTCTGCATTTGCAAAAAGGTAGGGGAAAAACCTATCAACAGGGGAAAACCCATACCGAGACTAGTTCAAGTCAAAATATCCCACCTCGCAATCACCTCCACGTCCAAGTTAAATAAGATAGGCTGAAATTCTGCGCTATTTGTTACCAAATTGTATTGGCGTTGATGAGTTTGCGTACTAACATCCCGTCTTCACTTCGATCAAAGTCGTTATGCCACTCGTAGGTGCATGTTGATACCCACCTACTACTAAATCTGTCAGTCAGATGTATTAACATAGCCGTGGATCTCCATATCTATTCCAAAAGGAAATACTCACACACTGTTCCCACCATATCTGTAAGCCATCTATATTCCATAACCATGCACCTCCCTCTATCGTAAAGGGAAATACTCACATCCTATGCCCGCCATATTTGTTAGCCATCTTTCGTATAGCCTTGCACCTCTCTCCATGTTAAAGGGGAATACTCACACCCTATACCCGCCATATCTATCAGCCCCTTTTATTGACATGGTTATGCACCTCCCTCTACCTTGAAGGGAAATACTCACAGACTATACATACCACATTTTTTAGCCATATGTATTCAAATGATGATCGTGACTCTCCATTTCTATCTTAAGGAGAAATACTCACATCCTATGCCCCATATATCTTAGCCATCTATATTCACATAGACATGCACCTCCCTCTATGTTAAAGGGGAATACTCACATTCTATGTCAACCACATATGTTAGCCACCTATATTTGTATACATTTCAAAGAGAAATACTCACAATCTATGTTCAACATATCTGTTAGTCATCCATCTTTAGGCACGGAGGAAGTCGTACGCCTCTTTCTCGATATAAGAGGGAAATACTCACTCGCTATACCCACCACATCTGTTAGATATCCTCCATTTTTACCTGAAAGGGGAATACTCACAACCTATACTCACCACATCCATTAGCGAACTATGTTTAATAGTCGTGAATCTCTATATTCACCAAAACGGGAAATACTCACATACTATGCCCACCACATCTGTTAGTCGCCTATATTCATATAGTTGTGCCAAAGGAAAACACTTACACACTATTCCCACCATATTTATCAACATCTATATACGTAGCGATGAACCTATATTAGCAGTTCAAAGGATAATCCTCACTCGCTATACCCACCACATCTATCAGCTAACCTTCATATCTATCTTCAAGGGTTATACTTACTTCCTAACCCCACCAGGTCGGTCAGTCACTCATATCCATATAGCCGTACACCTATATCTCCGTCTTGCGGGGAAATACTCACATACTGTAGCCGCCATATCTATTAGCGACTTGTACTCATGTGATGTATTTCAAAGGAAGTTACTCACAGCCTATATTTGTCAGACATTTATATTTATATATCGTATTTCGGAGGGGAATACTCACACCCTATCATATATATTAGCCACCTGCATTGATATAACAGTACTCTCTCTATATGAAGGGGAAATACTTACTTGCTATCTCCGCCATATGTATCAGCTATGTCTGTATTCACCTAGTTTTCATATCAAATAGATATACTCACGGGCTATACCCACCACATACGTTAGCCACCTATATCCAAAAAACCCTGCACGTCCATCTCCATAGCAAAATGAGATACTCACACACTATATTGGTTAACATATGTATCGACATAGCCGTGCAACTTCATCTCATGTCAACGGGAGATACTCACGCCCTATGCCCAAAACAAGTGTCAGCTATCTATGTTTAGACGGGCGCGGATTGAAACATCAAAGAGGACGAGCATGAAATGTAGAGAGCCGATCATACCTGACGTTTATCCAGCACAGCTCCTTCGGGCGTGTCAATTGGAGCAGCCATTACCACACTAGCGATAATTGCACAGATAAAGATAAAAGGCCGCATTTTGTTTAGAAACTGTAGGCTTTGGAGTCAAATCAACTTCAAAATAGGAATATAGATGCATGAAACGTCAGCCACTGGAATTTAATAATGACATACATATAACGGATGAAATTCGAGGATGTGTTTTCAAACTGGGCAAGGAGATGTCTAAATTTAAAGCTTAGAATTTCTGATGATCGAGGAGACCAATAGTTTTTGGTATCGGATCATGGAATGTTGATAATAGGCTGGAACAAACGGGACTAAATGGGTCCCTGGTTATCCCTGCTTATACGTTGAAAACTCGCCTGTACGGGCCAAATTTTTCGTACCAAGGTTAATTATCCACGGAGGCACCGCAGCCTTCTTTCAAATGCGTGACGAGAAGGCCAATACGCAAAGGGGTGGAAGAAGTACTCATGCCAAAATGTCAGGATTCCCCTTGGTTGGTTTGCATGAAAGATTCCGGATTCTACAGAGAATTAAGGCACTGTAACAATGACTTGAGGCTTGTCGAAAGATATAGGATAGACCCAGTAACTTCATCGATTGTATGAGTGTTCTGTGTCTCCAGACAACATTCAATTCGGGAATCCATGAAGGGAAGTTGATAGGCGCGTCAGCCAAAGCCTCAAATGAAAACTAATAGAAACATTCCAAATCCCACAGATCCTAGTTTAAGTGGTCTATTGTCCGATTAAGAAGGCATGTTCCCGATTTCCCACAACGCACCTACCGAGTCCCACCCCCAGACGCAGGGAGCCTCCGGTGTTGAAATCCAGGTAAACCCTACTCAAACCTAGTAATATTACGCGCCGTTTTGGTTTCCACTCACTTTCACCCGGACAAAAGTAGATCTTTCCTGATCCCTAGGGGTTTCTTGACTATTATGCGTTTCCGAATCTGCTATTCTTGCTATCAGAATCTGGAATGGCCAAAGGGGTTGTATAAAACGTCGAGTCTTCGTGCCAATACGACTTTTGACTTGGTATAATGATAATATGCTTAAGAGGCAGCTAATTTTATCTCAAAGATTTAGAGCATTGCGTATAAAAAAGATAGAAAATTGTGGGTTTTTGGTCAAACTAGCGTGGCGCCCACGTGTAGCCCGAAGGGGCGTTGTGGGTGCCATGGGAAAATGGCATCACGTGCCCCCCGCGTTGGCATCGACGTCAATCCGACTTTTCCGCTTGTGTTTTTGCTTGCGCCATTGTTTACTTCATTTGCTACGAATAGAAGCTTATTGCTGAAGCTAAGAGTTGCCGGGGACTCCTGATATTAGTATCCTGGCTCGAAATGAAGAGATTCAGGGCGGCTCGAGCGGTCTGTCTCCAATTCTTTCCCTTGTCGGGAACTGGCCAGTTGGGTCGAACATCGAAACTAACCCAACCCACAGTGCGACTCATGCCGCCAGCGAAAAACAAGGTTAGTCGTGTTATATGTGATTTTGTGGCACATGATTAACAAATCTGATAGATGTGACGCACGGGATCCCTGTGGGCCCTGTGTGAGCTTGAACCAAACTTGTCTATACGGAACAGAAGCTACTTCGTAAGTGGGTTGGTCTCATTCTAAAAATCTGTAATTAACATTAAATTAGAAGAGGGAAAAGTGACATGATCTTGGATACGGTCTTGCGAATGGAAGCTTCCATCGAAGAACTTAAAGGCATGGTCGTACGTATCAAGTGGCCAAACATCAGTTCTTACTCACTGATGGGAATTTTCAGGCTATGGGCTCCGGTTCAAATGTAACAAGTGGGATGCAGGCCAACTCAACGTCCCCTGGTTCGACAATTACCCCGATGTCTCAGGATGCACGCCATCATCCAGGCGGGGGCACAATCAGGGACCCCACTGAAAGTGCCGTCCTTTCGTCGGGACATCTTTCCTCGGCAGAGTCTCTGTTGAAATGGACAGTCTTTCGTGATCATCCTTCAATATTGGAGGAAGCAGAGTCTTCATTTTTGTCGCTCGAATATGGACGACCATCATTTCAAAGCAAGCTCTATGGCATATTCCCCAATGTGGGGTTGTCAGAAGTCAAAAATATGGTAGGCGTATTCCAACGAACATACAACTTTTGGTTCCCTACAATCAGCTTGGACGATCTGAAGTCCTTGCAATTGAGGATATGGCAAGAGAATCTGGAGCCTAGTTGTCAATCATGTCTTGCATTATTGGTCATGGCCTTGGGTTGCGTCGGGGCTTCCGTGACAGACGAAGAGGACAGTTCTGAAAACAAGTCTCAACAACTGAAGCTACAAGGAGCATCATGGTTCACTGCCGCAATGAAGATGCTTCACTTGGCCCACATTGAGATGAATGTTGAGGCATGCCAATGCCTCTTGCTGACTGGGTATGATAACATTTCCACGGGCCGAAACGGCGAGTCAAGACGGAATTAACATCTACATGTAGTCTCTACTTCTCATTTTTGCAAAGACCGCTGCAAACATGGTCTTACGTGAACAGCGCGGCAACTCGTTGTCGATTCCTGCTCTCTTGCCCCTTCGACAATCCTGAGCGTGATGATCGAGAACACATTACCAGAATATTCTGGTCGTGCTTTGTACTAGAAAGGTAAGAACAAGAAATTTCACCTTACACTTATCCCACCATCTGACTCGCACTAGCAACTATATCTCCGAGCTGCCATCGCTTCCGCAAAACTCCAATGCTGAAATCGAATCAATATTTTCTCTTCCGGGCAAATTCCACTCACACGAAGCTGCCGAAGAGGAAGAAAAGTCGACCTTCTACTTCCTCGCATCGATAGCACTCCGTCGCCTCCTGAACCGAGCTCACTACATGCTCTATGACCGCGACATTGGCCTTCAAATTGACTCCAATAATTTTCCTTCGGTGAACCAAGAACTGGCTCGCCAACTGCAAGACTGGTATCACACACTACCTTCAAGTCTGCAATTTCCCGAAGACGGAAAACCTGCAGATGATCCGCATAGCGAGTATTTAAGGCAGTGGTATCTCAGTTGTCGAAGTGTCATCTATCGACCTTACCTGGAATGGGCTCTCGCTAATCCCTTGTGGGATCTCAACAACAACCTGCGGGTGCTTGATGGATGTCGGGTTGCTCTCGACACTTGCCTATTCAAATTAAGATATATGAAGCAGGTGCCGTATACTGTCATGGTAGATACATGGCCATGCTCGCTTTCGTGAGTCTGATTTTTGACGTCGTCTTGTTGTGCATTATTGCTAATACAAATATTGCTAGACTCGAGACGGCGATGTTGACTCTAATGGGCGGTTTCTGTCATCCACAGCTGACAATGCAGCTTCGTCATATTGGCTTGCTAGAGCTAGGGCCTCACCTGCAGCAGCTTTTACAACGATGGATGACGATCCATGCATCTTCCGTTTCTCCTGGTGTTGAGAAGGCATTGAGATTGATCATGAAAGCTCACGAATTCTTCGAAAGCAAAAGTGCAGACTCTGCTCCTTGCCAAGAGGAAGAACAACATCTCTCTCCTCGGTCCCTTCGAATGTCTCTCGGATAGTGCTTTCAGTGACCCTCTTGGGAAAGTCTAGGCAAAGTATGCCTTTTTGTAACTAAGAAGCTCATCTCGAACCATCACCACAGCTCGGAAATGGTGTGCTAAGCTCAAAGAGTTAACCGAAACAACCTACAGCGCGAAAGGATCATACGTGCTGACTAAAGTATCATTGGAGAGACGGTCGCCTGGCTGCCCGACATTATTGCGCTCACTGCTATAGTCAGCCGCTGCGCACCTCACCCTATCCTGTGCTGTACAATAGTATCCGGTGGAGTCGACGACATCTTGGAATCCTTTGGAAACATCCCGAACTTTATTATGCATCTAGTCTCAATAGACTTGAAGGACGAATAAATGATGAGCTAGACTCCCGAAACTGTGTGCTAGTAATGCACATCGCCTTCAATGGAGTCTGACGTGGACAAAGTTTCATTTGGACCCACGGCGATCAACCAGGCTCCACGCGTGAATAACCTTCCAGCGTTGCCCGGGGGCTGAGAGTCTTCGTTTTTCCAGGAGCGGCCAACACAAGAACTTGGTACTGATATCGATGCTCTTTTCGGACTCCCGTCGGAGAATAGTGGTGGACCTGTTTCAGTCACCTGTCGAGGCTCGTGGTTTCTACAATTTCTTCTTCTTCGGCCATTCCACCCTCAATTTGACATTATTGCACCGCCCTGTCAAACACAAGGCTTTCGGGTGAGAGAGCAAGGACTGAGTTCCTAGTGATGAAGAGAATCGCAATTTTTCGGAATCGCCGGTGAATACGTCTAATCAACATTCTCGCGACTACCGTCTGGTAGGGGTCAGGAACCGAGCCTCATTATCCCTTGCCCAACAGAAATCAAACAGTCTACTCATCAATCAGGCCTCCCTCAACCCGTATCAATACAAAGTCTCTATTGGCGTGTTGCGCCAGGCGTCTCGCAATTTCGGCTATTCCAACGCTGAGTTGTTATAGCTCCATGGGTGGGAGTTGCTCACGCCTTCAGACACACATGGAAAGGGGGTTGAGTACAAACACCTAAAATCAAATAACGTAGCTAAATAGTTAGATAGGATTCTGCAGTAGGATATCACCAGCTTCTGCTGACGCTTGGTTTTTACCAGGCACCTCCATATCACCAACTGGGCAAAATCTACCAATTCACCCCGACTTGCTGCCTAGCGCTAGTTCTCTTTTCGGACACCACTGGAACGGACAATAACCGAAGGTCAGTAAGCAATATTAGCATAAATCACCGAAACTTGGAAGATCACTCTGGCATATATGTATGGAATTTGAGATGAGACGATATTGAATCTAATACTTGGGCTTGATCTGACATGTACTCCTTAGATCCTAATACTTCAAGTATAAGAGATTATTCTATATATGGAGAAGAGCAAGGATCTGAAAAGCAAGCGCCCAGCCATAATATAGCTGCGATGGCAAAGACGTCCAAAGTCACACTATCAATGCCTCGATAACATCCAGTCACTCGACCAATTTTCGAAGTCACGTTCCGTCTTACCTTCCACATTTAGCGCTCGCGTAGCCTCAGCCAGTTTCCCACTCTCTGCTCCCTATTGCATTCATCACATCCATGCATTCTCGGCTGTATTAGCATTATCAACATGATTTCTTTTCGCACTGGTCTTACACTAGATGGAACTACCTCAATCCTTGAGGAGAGATGCCCCGAAGACCCAGAAAAAGAAGACCCCAGCAAGAGGCCTGTGGATAATCAAAACAAGCTCCCTGAAGTCGAGATAGAACCCGTCGATGTGCCCGATCTACATCCTGCAATGACCAAGGAGATGATCAACATATTCCGACAGAAGGGAAACGACTACCAATCCTGGATCAATGACCCGGTTGACACCAATTGCCAAGCGCCATGTATCGTTTCGCCGTCCATACTAAAATTGGACGAGCTGATACAACCCTCCGACGACCGGAATCGATGGGACGCATATTTCAATGCATGGGTAGACGCACCCGAGGAAATTGGGGATCCCCGTTCACTCAATCTCCCCATTGGAATGAATTACCACAAGCTATATCTTCGAAAGCTCGGAATCGAGAAAGATGGTTCTGTGGGTTGGAATAAATACCACGGACGTGTGGCATACACTGCGATCTTCGCTGATAACAATATCAGACTTGATGGCCCTCAATGGTCACAAATCGCTCAGGCTCACTACCAAGGGTTCTTCGATATCGATTCTTTGAAATATGTTTTTCGGATGACGGTCGTCAATGAGGAGACCCATACTTTTGTGGATAAGGTGCTTTATCCGAGATATGAGCTTGAGCTTGCTGGAGATAGTCCAATGAGGACATGGCGGTACGATACTGATGATTACCAGGAAATTATGGGGACTCCGTTAGGGAAAGCTGTGGGCGCCCTTGTCTTGGGAGCTTTTCCTAGGGGTACGCGTCGCATTATTCAAATTCTTACTTGGCAGTATGATGGAGATCTGCAGATGAGATTTGATATTTCACAGGTCTCCCTGGGCCAGGACTAATCGAGCTGGCTCTCTGTTTAGCTTTTGAGCAAGACCTCAAGGATTCTGAATGTATCTATTTATGTGCTATTTCAGTGAATACATGTAAGATTCAGCAGGTTTGGATACTTATAAGTGTGTAAACCTTAAAGTCTGGAAAGTCCACTGGTATTGCTTCTTCTCTGTCTTCCAGTTGCTACCCACGAGTAGAAATCCCGGGGCGCTACGATGTGATTACTTCCAAGGGGGCAGAGTAAGGAGGTATCGATATTATAAAGAAGAAAAACTTATGCATTTTTGAATTAAATTTTAAACGACACATTGTGGTTAGGATGGGAAGGATATTCTACGCAAAGATACTTTACGGTTAGTCAATTTGACGGGGATTAGCAAGGCCGCATTTCGCTGTTTATCGCCGGTTGAAGTTCAAGAAGCGAGACTGTATCAAACTCAGTTAGCATCGCAACCAGCAAGGTATAGTAAAGATAGAGAGTATATCCACTTACCGCAAGGAACAAGATGGCCAGGTTCGACACAATAAACGCAGCGAAGATACCCAGATCCCGCCACCTGTTATCAAAGGACATGCTGAAGGTCTCGTAGAACTCCTCTCCAATCTTGTACGCACAGTACTTGCAAGCCTGCGCTGCATCATCAACAAGGTATCCCTTACCACCGCGATCAAAGAATGGCTTCATGTACTCGCCACAGGTGAGATTGTCAGGGGCGTTGAAGAGATTCAGCTCCTGCTCTGCACAAACCACATCCCGTCCCTGCAGCTCTGTCACGACCATACCGCCGATCAGACGGGTGAATGGGTCGAGTTGGTACAGCCATGCGCGCCAGAAGCCTGGCATCTGCGGCTTGGGGATTGCAACGCCACAGAATAGAGAGAAGATAATCACGATCGGTGGGTTGAACTGAGATGCGATGAAGCTGTTGGGTGTCAGAGCTGATATCATCTGGCCCAGAGTCACAGAGAACATCTCCGTGATGAGGATTATGAGGAATTGGTAACCGGCTCGGCTGGACTCGGTCTGGAATCCGGGGATGTAGTACAATGGGGCGAAGAAGCAGACGGCGCACAGGAGACTGTAAGGGATTTCGGCGACGACCAGTGACAATGCAAAGGCAAACTGGCTGTAGGTTTTTGAGGCAGATTCGCGGTAGAAGATTAAACGGGCCATGTCATACCGCGGTTGGACCATCTGGAGAATGATAGCAGGCAGGACGGTCACATTAAAAATGACGAAAATGCGGTATTGAAGCGAGGATCGAGAGTCGTCGAGGTTCAAGAATACAAGACCGGTGATGATGGAAATCACAACATGGGTGTAAAGCCTGGTGAAACCATAATTTCTTGAGCGCCAGAATGATAGATTGGTTCGTCGACCGACTACCTTGATCTGGTGCCAGAGAGGTGAAGCGTACTCTCTATCCACCTTATTCTCGTCATGATTGTCCCGGACAGCCTGGGCACGAACTTCCTTGATCTGGATGATTTCCTTCTTAACTGTCTCCAGCTCAGGAGAAGTGCGCCAAATGTCGCCCCAGTCACGGTCTCCGATCCGACGTGTTTGACCAGCGCCAATGGCATCAAGCATCCACTCAGCCACATTAGAATCCGCAGGGCACTCAGCTCCATTGCGACGGAAGTATTCCAGCAGGATCTCGGAGTCAGGGCCAATGTCACCGTGATAGATGCATTCACCCCCTCTTTGGAGTAGAAGCAGACGGTCAAAGCTTTCGAAGAGAGCGGCGTTCGGCTGGTGGATGGTGCACAGAATAGCCTGGCCTGCTGCTGCTAGCTTCCGAAGGAAACGAACAATGTTCCAGGCAGATTGGCCGTCCAGACCAGAGGTAGGCTCATCCAAAAACAGAAGCAGCTCAGGTTTCGCCGCCAGTTCGACGCCAATTGTGACTCGCTTTCTTTCTTCGACCGAGAGACCAGTTTCAGGTGTACCGATAATTGCATCTGCCAGATTTTCCAGCTCCAAGAGGGTTAGGATCTCTTCCACGTAAGCGTATTTTTCCGATTGCGGAGTCTCGAATGGCTGGCGCAGATCTGCGGAGAAACGCAGCGCTTCTCGTACTGTTTGCATGTCCTCGTGAACATCAAGCTGCTCTGCGTAAGATGTACCTCTTTGGAACGCGGTGCCTGGTGGCTTGCCGTCGACGAAAATATCGCCGGTAATCACACCAATGTTTTTTCTTGCCGCCAAAACGTCCAGCAGTGTTGTCTTTCCTGCACCGGATGCTCCCATGAGTGCTGTCAACTTTCCAGGCTGAACATAGCCGTAAACAGAGTTCAGAAGACGTCGGGTACCGGAGGGCACAGGCACCTCGTAAGAGACGTCCTCCCAAGTGAACACGGACTTGGAGGTAATGATGAGGTTTGATCCTGCATCAGACTCAAGAGCTTTTGCCTGTCTGCTTGCTTTCTTCTTCATCAAAGCCTCATTTAGCTCTTTCCGCTCAGCATTTTCTTTCTGGTAGAAAGTGATCGTTTTGCCGCCTGCACCGAATTGAAGTGTTTCTCCGAAATACAAGTTCGAACAGAGGAAACCAATAATCAGGGCAAGCATGATGCCAAAGTTTCGCCAAAGATCACCTTTGAGATAACTGAAGGATTGTGCTAGGTAGTTCGAGCCCGGGATAATTGCCGACCCAGGCTCGCCTCCTGCTAGAGTACAGGCTTGGTGTGCAATGTCGTCATAACCAGGTCCAGTTGGAACGAGTGAGTCTGTCGTACATGTCAGAGTAAGGTGCTTGAACTCGTTGACCATTAATGCAGCGAATCCAAGACCAAAGGGGTTGACGAAGTAAATCCATCTCAGCCACACCTGAGCGCCAGACCACTGGATAAGATATCCGGATGTCAAAACGAAGAATGTGATAATGACAGATGCAAACTTAATGGCATAATCGAAGTCAGGACACAGACATCCGACTGTTCGGAAGAACACTGTCATGGTCACATAGCCCTCGAGGATGATTAAAACGAATATAAAGAACGCCCCGGCATCAAGGACCAGTCCGCACATAAAGTACACGATGATACCAAATACTAGAATCCTTGCGACGGCAAATGCAGTGTCAACCAGAATCTGTGCAATGAAAAGTGCGCTAGGTCGGTAGAACGTGAATGAACGGTGCTTATTGACAATTGAGCGGCCCATCATTGTGGCTGCAAGTTCCGAGAATGCTTGGAAGCCGTTGAACAGCAGACTGATAAACAAAAGACCTCCTCGAGTAAAGGCACCGGCGCTCGTCTTGGGTTGATCGAGCCACACAGTACCCAGGATGATGGCAATACCGACGGAGGTAACCCAAGAGACGGTCAAAGCAAACTTGTCTTGCCATTTGAGGAGGAACTGCCGTTGCATCAAAGCCCAGGTTTGCAGGTGGAAAGGGATCGAGTATACAGATGAGTCAGAAGTAAACTTGCGCTTGGCCTCTTTGTTGGCGATCTCGAAATCATCGTATAATTTCTTTTCCTTCTGGATCTGGGCGCGGTATGTTTTCATTTCCTCGTCTAGCGTTTCACTAAAGACGGATTTGTCAAAGGCTTCGACAAGTGCTTGTGATGTGGATGGCACATTTTCGGCACTTCTTCCATCTTTGAACTCCCTCTCGAAAGGATCAGTGCATCCTGTTAAGTAGTCGGGAGTGGTCTGGCGAGGCTTTTCGCGGAAGCCAAGGCCTTCGAAATATGATCGTGCTTCGGATGTAGGACCGAAGAATACTTGACGGCCATTATCAATCACAAGGACCTTGTCGAACTGTTTATAGATGTTCTCGGACGCTTGGTAGAGGGACACGAAAGTTGTCGTTTTGTATATGTTGGTCAAAATCCGCAGGGACTTGGCGAAATCGAGGGCAGTTGAGGCATCCAGGCCACGAGTGCTGTTATCCCAAGCTAATACAGTCGCAGAAGTGATCATCATCTCTGCAATTGATACGCGACGCCGCTCACCTGTTCTAATTAGCTTTCATTCCCTGAGAGCTGCATGTTTAACACAGGTTTCTTACCTCCAGAGACACCACGAATAAACTGATTGCCGATCACAGTATTGGCAGTGTGCTCGATATTGAACATTTTCAGAAGCAAATTGGTCACTTTTTCTTTGAACTCGGCTTTCGATACACCAAGTGGGCGCTTTCCAGGGGTCTTCGTGTCTAAAGCAAATCCAAGGGTTTGTTTCACAGTCAAGGTGGGCTGGTGAATATCGTCCTCCTGATTGTACACGGCTTCTCCACGGAATCTTTTTGAGAACGTAGCCGCTTCAAAGGGACCATAGAGGACCTCACCATCCACGCCGGTATACCCAAACCGTTGGTTCGCGATCACTTTGAGGAAAGTCGTACAGCCTGATCCGGGACGCCCAAGCACCAAGACCATCTCACCGGGCCGTGTGAGACCTCGGAAACCTTCCAGGATGTTGTACTCTTGGCCTTTCTTTCTCCACCCGAAGAGGTCAATGAGCGTTCCCGGTAGATTCAGAAAATCGATGATTGCATCTGGGAACGTTTTGATATATGTCTTGACACCGCCCATTCCACGAACGGACAGGTTATCCCAGATCACACCTAGGAAGATAGTCAGTACTTATTTGTTCTCTGAATGTGAGCATCTACTAACCGATATGCTTATCTTTGATTCCAGCCTCTTCAGAGGCGACACGATCGCCACGAAGAGTTGTCTCCAGATTCCATGAGTCATCTGACGCCATAGAGCCCTCGGCTTCGGCTTTCTCGATATCCTTAGTGGTAACTGCCATCTTGGATACTCGTGATTCTTGCCTGGATAATCTGTGGGCTTGGTGCGAGATGTTGGAGAATTGTTTGCTCAACTCCGAAAAGTCCTTCTCGGCGGCCGTAACATCGACACCCGTCTGGAAGGAGGTATTGGCCGGCGTGTTGGCGATGCGAAGTTCTTCCAGCTGCCGTCCATAGCTATTTGAATCCAGGGTATCGACATCGGATTTGCTGCTAGTTTCCGCCATGGCCAGCTTGTGGTCCGACTCGACGTTTGTCATTGAAGATCTTTAAATGTGGCGAGGGCCGATCCCGTTATAAACTCTCCGCGAGCACGTCCACAGGTGCTCCCCAAGAGCGAGTGGAATTATTGAATTACTTTATGGGGAGGTCCGAGGAAAAAAATAGAAGGTGGAGTAAGGTCAACGTTTGAAGCCCCTGAAACAAAGCGTTAAAGAAGAAGAAAAAAAGAAGCTAGAAGATAGCGAAGAAGCTAAACCCGAAGGATCCTTGGCTTGAGTCAGGTAGCATCTAGACGAACATACCCAAGTCCTACTAGAGCTAAATTTTTTTACAGGGATAACGAATGGGCTTCGGGATGAAATTACGTCCAAGCAAAATCCCCCATTGACCAAACAAATGTGGGGGTCAACCACAGACGGCATATTCCGCGGTGGAGTGACCAGATTCGAAGATGCCAAGCAGACGGGGTCCTAAATGGGGTTAAAGCGCGAAGAATCGATATGACTCGTGATGACTGCTTATGATTATAAATTGATGTTCTAGAGCAAAAAATATCGATCTGGGGGTGTGGAGAAGAGCCAATTAGTGCCCTCCACTTTACGGGGTATAGGCAACGACAGCGAATACATATATTGAACATGGATATACCCTGATACATGACAAGTCTGTGAGAAGTCAGGGTTTTAATATTTTGACTATAATCTATTTATGCCGTATAGAGAAATTATATTGCAAATCGTCGTTAGAGTATGCCTATAAGGTATTTACACTTAGGCAACTTAATAACCTTGAAATCTCTTCTCTATTCAATCAAAATCGGTAAATTGCAGAATCTTTCTGGATCCATTACGCCAGCACTCATCTGGTTAGGCTCGGGATATCTTCGGGTTAGTAGAGACACCGTTCATGTTCAAAGGCCAGTCGAGAATCAGACACGTCCGAGCATTGATGATATATACCCACTTGGGCGAAACACAATCCATAACTTTGTTAGGTAGCATTCCACGTGCAGGAAATGCGCCACCTTGCATACTCGGAGTTTGTAGACCAATCAATCTTGATATTTCCCCAATTCTCCCTTTATATACCAAACTTGGGTCACAATTTTCTGGCTTTATAACGCTTAGACACTTGTATACTTAGGTATAGGTATCTCAACTTCCTAGGTTATACATAGAAAAGTCGCTTTCACATAGCCCTTACCGCATTTCTCTGCTGTCTACCTATATATTTGAGAAGGGGGAGAAAATATCTCAGAAAAAAGACATGTAAAATATCTAAGAAGACTACCACACAAGGCCGCATAGGCCAAATATTCTTGTCCGGCGTAAAAAAGGAAAAATAACGGTTTAATCACGTGATGATTGGATCACTTATTAGCTATTTCGTGACGCTAAATCTGTTTGATATTGATAAACCCTCTCTTTGATACTAAATTTGAAAGTTCAGTGGCACGTCTTTCTATTTGCGCAATCGTAGAGAATTGTATGGCAACGTGGCGACAAATCTAGCCCAGATTGATAAACTGCCGCCATCCGAAACTGTGGGTCCTCGAGATTGACCTAACGGTCCTGACCTCCATGTTCTTGACCATCTTCATCGCTAAGCTGGATAACACCCGATAGAATACGCAACGAGTGATCCACAGCGTGAGTAGAATCTTTTGCCATATATAGTGGTGAGTGGAAGGAGATTTGTCAGTTGTAAGTTGCCAATCGCACAATTCGCGCAGCGGGCCGGCACCGAGACCAGCCAGCATCAATCGAAGCATTTTACGCACAAATGCCGCAGGTAGGGGAGCGGATAGAAGGGAGAAGAAAAACTAGGCGCTGGTTGTGCTGTAAGCTGCTATTTTTGGGAATTCAACCGCAGCTTCTCTAAAAAGTATATATGCTCCAATAGTCATCTCCCTCCCTCATTCCCTCTTTGTGTCTCTCTTTTCCCCATCAACCTCAGAAATCCCACTATCAAAACCATGTCAAGCCACAAATACACGTTGAATGTCCAGATGGGCTGTGGTGGCTGCTCCAGCGCCATTAAGGAAGCCATGGAAGCGCTGAACGGTGATTTCCCAGTGCTGTTTTATTATCGTTATCATTTTCAGAGCACTAACATCTTCGTTTGTACGCTATAGGTGTGCAGAGCCACTCCATTTCCCTGGAAGAGCAGACTGTCTCCGTGATGGCTGAACCTTCTCTCTCATATGAAACCGTGTTGGAGGCCATCAAGGCGAAGGGCAAGAATGTCCGCAGCGGGGAGGCGGACGGAGTTGCTCAGCCTGTTTGAGACCCTATAAGGTTGCCAGTCACTCTTGGTTTATTTGGAGATTTTTCTGTGCATAGTAGTACTTGTACTATCGGATAGTACTTCTGGTCGGTTCAAGCTTTATGGAAATTAGGAGCAATGGAAAACACGTCCCTTTGGACCCTGTTTGAGCAAGCCTGGTCATGTCCTGATAGCATCAGCTTCAGCAGTTTGGTTATAACAGGTAGGCTGTTTGTAAAGTAGAGTATCAGTGGTCTTGTCTTTACATATACCAGGGTTTCTAAGTATACGCAGCTAAGGTTTATCTGGCGAGCAAGATTCTTGCCCTATCCATAATGTATTCGATCAGGTCTCGACATTCACACTAACACGATGGAAAGACCAAAGAAACTAAGAATAATCAAATTCTCTCGAAACCGTCACCCATCAGTGGCAGCTGTGCTTTCCCTTGCCATCGACCTTTCCCCACCGATTCACTTGCGCCCAAGCCGACAATCCGACACAGATCGAAATCCGCCACAACATCCTACGACTGAATCCCTCACGCCGAACGCCCCAGATAAGGGTCAGGATTGAAATCGCAAGGAAAACATTTCGCAAGTTCTCAATGCCAGCAGTAGCCACCGAACCTGCAAAGAGAAAGTCTAGGACAGTCTAGGAACGACAATTTAGCATATGCATTCAACAGGCTAGTAGCATGGAAAAGAACATACTGGCAGCCAACAACACGAAGACGAAAGCAATGCGGATCCTTCAGGTAGATATTTGACGACAAATTGGAAGGGTCTTTGTAGAAGGGGCGCGTCATGGGCTTGGGTAGACTCGCACGAGGGTTTATCTGATGATTTGTCTGAGGAGCAGTTGTCGCACGACATGTTGAATATTATGTAAAAAATGGGTTAAAAAACAAAATCTTTTCTACATGATGGTCGATAGGTCTATAGATATATGGCTGCGTGATTTTCGCGTGAGACCCACAAGGGGTTGTTTTCCCCTTGGTTCCACTAGTGCCAAGACCAGCTAGTACATATATGGAATAGTAAGTTATTTCAGTGCAAACAGCTCAAACATAACAAGGTGCCACTTGTCTATGACTCCTTTGTCTACTTCATACAGTCTGAGTTATCTATTTGGCAAAACATAGTGCAAACTATAGGTATTTTATGCCTTGGCACTATATAATTCCCTAGTTTCTATCCTATGGTTACCATAGTTTACAACCGTGGCACAAGTATGGCGTCCCTAGAGTTCCTCGGCATAGATGAATCAAAGGGATCTCGGGAGATAGCGAATACTTCATACGGCTACGCGTTCCACTGGTTTGGTGGAGATCTGAAAACTCACCCTTTGTAGAAGTGACAAGGCATTCATCAATACCCCGCAATGCGACTCTATCAACCACAGACACCAAGGCGTTACTAGGGGGCCACTGCCAGGTACTAAACAGCTTTGCCTACTTGGTATGTGTAAGACTACTTTTCTTTTGCAATTTCCAACACAAAAATGACCCCACTCAAGATCGTGCTAGAGGGCAAATCGTCCATCACCCGCCAGCCGGAACGAGGTGCCCTCGTCTTCGTCGTCCATACGAGTGGACCAAGCCGAGAAACTGTGTCCAAGGAGGCGATCGAGGTGTCCAATGAGATCAACAGGCTTTTCAAAAGAGCTGCCACCCAAAACTGAGACTGTTGAAACAATTACAGGCTCACCGGTGACCACTTTCTCTTCCACCTCGCTACAAACAGACTCTAAATTGCCGAGGGATAAGTCGGGCATGCCTCTACCTACAATCTACAACGCGATTATCTCGCTCAACGCACTCTTCCAAGACTTCACGAAGCCTAGCGAAATCATCGCAAAGCTGATTTCTTACCCCAATATCGACATCAAGTCCCTCGATTGGTGTCTCACCGAGGCGACGCAAAAGGCCCTGGATTCCGAGTCCCATGAGAAGGCAATGCGGGGCGCCGTCGAGAAGGCAAACGAGTACACTAGGGTGATTGGAAGAGAATTCGTTGCGGTGGAAATCAGCGAGTTGAGGGGCGGAGGGCAGTTTGAAATGAGGTACAATTCAATTCCACACATGCAGCAGATGCATCAGATGCAGCAAGAACAGATGACTCAGTCAGGCGTACATTACTCATCCATGATTGATCCCCCTGCTTCTAAATTGAATGTCCATACAGGTGCTTCCCCGGGACTTGATTTGGGTCCGCAGTTAACTCGGTACACGAATGCTGTGCAAGTTGAATTTCAGGCTGTACGGAGTTGCGAGGCGTCCTCTTAGATATTTCGAAGTAATTCTTAAGCTAAATTTACTTTCGTGAAGTTTAATTCCATTTCTCATCACTCTATATCCGCTACAATAAATTGGAGAAACACTGCATGCGATCAAAGCAATCGTGTCGCGATCTTCCACATCGAGGTGACCTTCATGCACGAAGGCCAGTCGTCCTACATCTTCAGAGATGCATGTTTTCTTTTTTTCTTCTCCTTATGTATTCTCGGACTGTCTGTACTATATCATTACTCCGAGGAGTCTCTTCTTCAGTATAATGGCGGAAATTCTCAGGATGGTGCGCTTAATGCAGCCGGTAGCTCCCTCCACTTGTGTTAAGATCTTCCTATATAGCCAGGAGGGAGATCATAAAGGTACGAGGTACGAGGTACAAAGGTGTCAGACGTATTGGAAGTTACACCGGTTTCGAGATACGTGAACGTATAGATCCCAGATACTACATGTTACACAGGAACCGCCAGGGCCTCCGGGGCTCCACCCTATGCTCCTTTCTTTACTCGGTGATCAAAAAGTGGCAAGGGAAGAGCACCAGAAATGAAAGGAAACCCATCTCGCACGGCCTAAAACCCGGTGTATATGTATTAATGCCTAAGTCCGGGTCGATCTCGGACGTTGATAACAGTGACCCGTATCTCATGCGAGGTGTGCATGGTGCAACATCAATTGACACGTTTACTTGTATGGAGATACAGCATATAGAGTTATGTCACAATCTCCTTTCGTGATTCATGAATTACACTGATTATACCGATAAACGATCATACGATTGCCCGGGGATAAGGAGATGGATGGACTCCACTCCAAGATTCTCGAAGACTACCGATAGACCAAGGCAAATCGTCTATGCCGAGATCTCCTTAATCTGTGCCTCGAGTTTCTTCATGTCACCGCCAACAACGCGGTTGACCTCTTTGCCATCCTTGAATACCACAAAGGTGGGCATAGCGTTCACGCTCAGTTCCTTCGCGACACCTTGCAGCTTGTCCACATCGACCTGGATAAAACGAACATTTTGGTACTGCTCGCTCAGCTTTCCGACAACGGGAGCGACAGCCTTGCAAGGTCCACACCAGGTTGCGAAGAAGTCAACGACGACGGGGCCGGAGGAGGTGAGGGCTTTGAAGATGACTTGGCTGTTGGGCAGATATTAGAATTAAATATCTTAAGCGCGGAATCAAGAATGACTTACTTGTCGATCTCGGTGACTTTTCCGTGAGACATGATGGTTGCTGGGCCTGAGTTGCGCGACTTAAAGAACAGACGGACAGCTTATGAGGGGTCAGTGGTCAGTTGTTTGTTTCTGTCGGATGTGGGCAAACATCGCAGGACGTAGTGCATGGTAGTACTTACCGATATATAGCGCAGCGAGAATTGCAACGGTTGTGTACTCCATCTTCAGTTGTCGGCGGTTCCCAAGTTCTTTGGTGGAGCGTCGTGTTATTTGGCATGGCACGTGACCTTGAACTATGCCCTATCTAGAGGTACGAGATCACGACATTTGAGAAATACTGATTGGTCTCAAATAGGTCTCAGCTCAAATTGTCTTACCTCCGATTAAGCTAGATATGGGCGTTGGGCTTCGGGAAATTTAATGCGGCTGCAGCCACTAAAGGCTTCTGCCATCAACCTCGGTAAGGACTAGCGACGATCTATCCCTGGAAAGACTATATATGTATCTTATGTGTCTTGAAAGATTAACACTATAAGATAAGCCTCTTCTTCCCTGGTAGCCTTCTTAGACATGATATTTATAGAATCGCCACGAGTTAATGTTTTCCATACACTCCAGATGACCATGGATTCAACCAGACAAATAGTGTGTGGTGCGCTAGCTTTCCCACATGCAATTTTGATAGATCTATGTCGTAGAGACAAAGTTATGTATGTACATAGTTACTTTGTACATTCTGTTCAAACCTTATCGACAAAGATAACAGGGCGATGGATGTCAAAAAATAAGCGGGTCTAGACCTACTACATACCTTATTGTCTTAATTTCAAGCTTCACTGATTTAGGGGGATATGAATTCCGCAGGCTTTGCCACGTTGGTGCATTCGCTATAATATTTTGCACGGTATAAAGGACTTGGTTTGTTATTTCATATCTTCCAGGAGCGTGATTTAATTGCCATTCTTGAGTATAAGCTTGACAAATACCTTGGATGCAACCTTGGAAACAATGAAATCTCGAGATATTGAATTACACCATCACAGTAATAGTATATTCACTACTTCGTACATATGATACATCTTTTCTCTTGACTCAACTTGGGCCTGACCTGACTAGCCTCCCGGCGCGAGGATCTCGAACTTGGGAATGTTTCGGTCTGTGGATTTTCGATTAGCTACAATTTCACCACAATTACTGTGGTATACACTATCTGTGTATGTAGTAGCACCTCTATTTTGTATTGGTATCTCAGGGCTGAGATCCAGCAAGCCTCTCAAGTTGTGCATATGATGTCTCACATTCTTTCCGATAGGTCGCGTACGTATGTTTCAGCACCGGAATGTAGCATCAAGGAGCTCGCTCCAGCAAGGGTTCAATACAAACTTCTACTGCCAGTCTATATGGAGTACGGTCTTTATCAATAGCCATGAACCGATCCCAGAAGCAAAAGTATTCTTCTTTCTATACAAAATCCGCTCGACATGGATTTGCAACACCCAGTCCCCAAAATAGAGCCCGAGTCCAGCACGAATGACAAGCTCACTAAATCCAATACCCACCACATTCCAACAGACAATGTTCCGAGCACAACTGGATCCATGTTGCGCCTCACATTATGGGTCTCGTTTGCCGCATGGATCTCGAACTTTGACAATGGCTACGCCGGCACGGTCTTAATCATGCCTTCTTACAAACGCTCATTTGGAAGCTGCGAGCAAGTCCTAGACCCGAACACGTATGACAACATACAGCATTGCTCGTTGACGCCACTGCAACAATCCCTCATCAGCCTCAACTTCCTGTTCGTTGCCATCGGAGGCGGGATTTCAGGCGTGGCCGGTCAATACGTCGGACGCAGGGGGTCAATCCAAGCTGGATGCGCATTGGCTATCATTGGTGCTGCTGGGATGCTTGGCACCAGCGGAAGCTTCCTTCGCTACATGGTGTGCAGATCGATCAGTGGCGTGGGAATTGGACAACTGATGGCAGCCAGTCTCACTTATGGGTCTGAATGCATCATCGCTAGCAAGCGCGGTCTGTCTCTAGGGTTGTATAATGTTGGACTCGCTAGTGGAAATGTTGCTGCTTTTGCCGTATGTGCGGGTTCTGCTCGTCTGGAGTCAACCAACAACTGGCAGTGGAAGACACCCATTCTGTGCCAAATACCCTTGGGAATTATTCTCGGTGCTGGAATCTTGATGCTTCCTGAGTCACCGCGCTGGCTGATGGGACATGGCCGAGAGGAAGAGGCGCGGAACTCGTTCGGCGTGCTATACTGCCAAAGTCCATATTCGTCGGAAATCACCGCGCAGATTGATGATATCAGGACCAACCTTGCGAATGAGCGCGCAGGCCTCAAATCTGTCTCCTGGTTTGATATTTATCGCAGGAAACATATCGGTCGCACCTTGATATCTGCCATGATCATGGTTGGAGTCGCCATTACTGGTATCCAATTTGTACAACCGTACGCCACACTGTTTCTCAAAGGAGTTGGAATCAGTGACCCATACTTAATCAATGTCATCATTGGATTGTGCATCCTAGGAGGATCCCTTTTTGGTCCCTTCATTGTGGAATACGGCGGAAGAAGAGTTGCAATGCTTTCGGGCTACATTATTATGGGTGTCTGTATGCTCACACTTTCCTCTGTGAGCACCGCTCTTGAAATGAATGAAAGTGCCGAGATAGTGATAGTTGTTCTTCTGTGCTTCTGGGCTTTTGTCTTTGGTGGGACTATTGCTGCAAGTGTTAACCTATCTGCTGTAGAGGTGCACAGTGTCTCACTTCGGACCTTTGGACAAGCCAACACAACAGTATTCTACGGTATATTTGCCTTTGCTGCAACATTTTGGACACCTTACATGTTGAACGCGGATTATGGGAATATGGGTCCCAATGTGGGCTATTTCTATGCAGGCGTGACCGCCGTCATAGGGATTTTAACCTTCTTCCTCGTGCCAGAGACTGCCGGAATTACCCTGGAGCAGATTGATGAGGGTTTCAACTCAGGAATAAAGGCATGGAAAACGTCATTGGCAAAAAATAAAGCCATTGCTTCCATTCACAAACAGAACATGGCGAATGGAAACGTTGGGGCTTAATGAATTATGCTGAGCTGTGGTCAATTATCTATGAATACTATATAGATATAATGTACAGGTTATAGTGCAAAATTCGGAATTATTAGGCCTCATTGGTAGAGCTATAGGGTGTTAAAACTTGCAATAGAAACCTTAAATAGATAGATAACGGGGAAGAGTATAATATCTCAGCTTTCTCTTCTTTTTGCGGTTTCGTTCATCCTGTTTTGGAAGATTATATCACAGCGTCGCGCACGTGATCTTCTGGCCCTAAGGCACACGCGCAACTCCGTTCTTCTCTGAGACAGCATTTACTTGGGAGTGTCGATAGAATAAATAGAATCTCAGCAAAGTTTGAGATGCATACTGAGAACTATTGGCTTCAATAAGCCTGCGGAACAGGACTACATTGTGTCGTAGTTCGAGGTGATGTGAATTTGGCGCAAGTGACAAGACATTCCGCGACATTCGTGCCAGTAGAGTATTAGCTGAAGTTATATCAATCAATATATCGATATATATTCTTAAGTGCACATGGGACGAGCGTTCTGTAACGCTTAAGAATAGAAAGAACGTTTGACTGGTTGCAGCTGAACTTGTAACATGAGACTATCAGACTTCACCTACTCCGACATAAGAATTAAGTTATATTGACTCTATGCAGTCACAATTGCCTAATTTGGGCCCTTTCTGCGTTCAGACGAAACATCTAAATTGATTTCTCTCCTTCCTCTTCTTCCCTTCCTTCTTTCCCCTCGCATCCACCACGGACACTTCTTCAGTCGCAAAAACGTACAGTCTTGATCGCAAAGCACCACCTAGAGTGAGTTGATTACATTTCTCTGGCAGAAAACTAGCATCTGCTAACAATATCTTCCTCAAAGCCGAAAAGCTCAGTCATCACGCTCATCTTTACCACCGCCTCTGCGTACCCGACTACCATGTCGTTCTTTACTAATCCCCCTCGTCGCGGTAGACATGATGCCGGCTCTGGACTCTACCCCCCGCCACAAACTCAGGCTACTGATTTGCCCAAAGAGTCTCCCGTGACTCTTCTGAATATCACGAAGCTCAAGTCAGAGTCTAGCCTTACGGTCTGGGGCAATGAGATCATTCATGTCTTGCGACCTCTCAAGCTCGATGCGCTCGTGGCCAGTGATCTTCCGAGGCCCCACCCAGAAGACCCCGACTACAGCAAATGGAAGTTCTGGACTCTTGTTGTTGCTAGATGGCTATTCAATCAGGTGGATACCTCAATTCAACACAAAGTGAAGGCACACTCAAACGACCTCGCTTTCGCCGATGAGATATTCAACGCAATCAAGCTGTTGAGTCTTCACAGCCAGTCTAAGTTCCTTGCGAATGAGGTGAAGCGATGGGAAGAGCTCAAACGAGAGAATTTCTCTACGCCCGCGGAATTCATCATGGCTTACCAAAATCAGTACAATCGTCTGAAGACAGAAAACCATGAGCCGTCTTGTGATTTTGCCCTTGGCAGACTTCTGCAAGAGCTTCACGGAGAAGTGATGAAGGTTCCGTTCATCCAAGAAGAGGTCAAGGATTTGAGACGGCCCGTGAACTATCAACTTTTCGTTTATTACTGCAAAGTCTTGATCGATGAATCCCGCAAGCCCACCGTTTCAGCCGGCCCCTCTGCTTCTGAGGATGCCAGTGTGGGGATTTATGGAGAATTGAGAGGCCGAAGCTCAAGCCATGGACGTGACATCTCCTACCGCGGCTGGAGACAAAGCACCAAGGGACGCGGCCCGGCATGGGAATAGGTGATTTGCTCTATGTACTGCCCCGATCTTGCAATTAATAAGATCATGAAAATGGGCAACTGGAGTTGAGGGATTCGAGAAATCTGTTATGGGGTCAGTCAAAAAAGAAAGAAAACCCAAAAAAATGTTATGGCTAGAGATTCCTGGGTGTATCCTCTTAAAGTCAAGGTCTCTTGAAACAAGATTGATAGCAATGATACAGGAAATAGCAATGGAACCGATTATCTCCCTCATAATTTCTATTTGGCTACATTGTATGAGAGTAGAAACTTTGGTTTCTATTTGCATTCTTTCTAGTTTAACGCGAATTTCAGAGATTGGCCGATTGAATACACATGACTTTGAAATTAGGATTAAGTCAAATATTTCTAAAGTACAGAACATAATATCTCGTCTGAGATATTATAGAGCGGACCCTTCGCCTAGAGCAAACACAGTAACAGCTGAGGTCTACCATCTCTTCTGATTATATATTTCTATTTTCGTTTTATTCAACAAGTCCACTATTGCTTGTGAAAACTTCTAGTTGAGAGTCGCCTCCATCATTGGAGTCGTAAGAATGCTTATTCAGACACAGTTTTAGACCTCGGGATTCGTTTGCAGGTAATAAAGTAGCCAAATGAAGGTTTTCATCAGGGAAATTATAGCATATATCGTTATCTTTGTGGGACGTGAATTATAGTAACAATTGCCTCGGAAGACACTAAGATAAAATGATAAACATAAAAATTGTACGGAGTACATATCTCGCTGTCCTCAGAGTATGCACTGCGGCCCAATTATTGACTTGGTCATGGCCTGCATGGCCTGCATGGCGGGGATTTAGCTGCACCCGTTGTTCTGCCCACTTCTTGTCCACGTCTTTCTTCAACGCCTTAGCCTAGCAACTGCAAACGAGCAGCAACATTGACAAGGTAATCGTAGTGAGAAAGGTTTAGGCAAGGGAGATGCTGGTGAAATGTTCTGCTGATGTTCATCTCGATGCAGACGAATACGAGGATGACGCTAACGCTCAGGTGCCCAACCACGCTGCTGACAAAGACCCTAATAATGAATTTGGAAAGACAATGATATTTAAATGTCTCAGACCAAGAATAAGCTGGTATTAACGAGGCCCCAAAATATCAAGATGATCGCAATAGAACCGAAAGGGAAGCCGCTCGGGCCAACAATAACAATAGTGACGATCGAGCCGAGGTCAAAGCCTAAGACCACGACCAAGCCAGAGGCAAAGAGCAACACCAAACTGGAGACAAAGGCAAAATCGGATACAAAGAGCAAACCTAAGCCGGAGGCAAAGAGCAAGTCGGACACGAAGACGAAGAGCAACACAGAGATAAAGAGCAAACCAAAGACAGAGGCAAAGGCCAAGTCGGACACAAAGGCGAAAAGCAAGCCAGAGACGAAGAGCAAGCCCGAAATAAAAACAAAAACAAAGCCAGAAACGAAGGCAAAAGTCGAGCCGAAGAAAAAGACAAACCCAAAGAAAAGGACATTGATCAACCTGGGAACGGCGACGAAGATCCTGCTGGGATAAGGATGGCGACGATGCAGTTGACGCCAAATACTGGGCTGATAATGAATATTCCAAAAATGATAAACACGAAGGTAGCGAGGATGAAGATAAATCAGTCTCGGATGGCGAGACGATTAAGCTGTCAAAGAAGAATAAACGCGTACAGGGCAAGATCCAGAAAAACAGACAGATGCCTACAATCAGAACTTGGAATGGGAAATTGCTTTATCCTCAAGTTTGCTCTTTGCGACCTACTGCTCATCTTGGAAATTCAATCAAATTGTCCATGTCTTGCTCATTAAGTCTCTCCGGACATAAGTGAAATACTAGTTGGTTTCTTATGAAAATGATGAATAATACATTCTGTCACCAAGCTAGCGATGATAAAAAGGAATCAAGGGCAGTCCAATGTCCGTTTGCCCTTGTTATACATAGAAACGCCGTCTGCACGCAAGTTGGAGATAAAGAAAGGAAAGGGCATAGTTCGTATGGAAGCTGAAATCATGTGTCTGCATCTGTAGTTCACGTTTCTCCCACATAAGCTTGACGATACATGGAAGTCGACCTTTGTTCATCACCCACATACCTGTTAGGCCAAAGTGCTCTGGTCCATCAAATTTATGGAGGATAGGGCAATTATGACATAGAAAAAGTGATGTTGGAGGTCGCGTTCGAATATGATACATGTATAAGAGAATGGAAAGAGGCGACGTTTTAATGTGAAGGCCTAAACCAGAAGAGGAAATTAGTTTACAGCTTAAAGCCAAGGTTCCATAGCTATTATGCCCCAAAAAGCTTGGTGTTTGCGCAAATCTTTGTCGGCCCCGACTCCCTTGTATCTGGGTACAGATTCGTCCCCACTGTCTTCGGGCAGGTCTTCAGGTTCAATTTCATCGGTCCTTCAAGCGGTCCTTCAAACGGTATTTTGCGTGGTCCTTTTGATGTAAAAGAGGAAAGTCCTCAAAAAATAAGAATTGCCGGGATAAATTAATCTTCCGTGACAGCACGAACAGCGGAGACCTTTGGAAAACCTAGCAATGAGTGCCCGATGGTGACTACGAACCAGGCGGACGGAAAGTGATCGTCGCAACTGAAAAGTGCAATGGCGATATCTCGAGGCCATGCTGGAGGTAGGAGGCAATGTAGTTGGCGGAAATGATCAACCCATCTCGACGATTAGTAACGAGAGACAGAAAGAGCGGAACAAAAGACCAGGAACCGCCATGACCAAGTTGGAAAAATCGGAACTCTTGACCATCTGTCAAGCAGCCATACACGGTGCAATGCGGGAGCCTGTCGCAGAGTGTATTGTGGATCGGAGATGAAACGTCTCATCCACATATCCTGAGCCCTGCGGGTTCCTGAGGCATCATGACCAAACTAAAGCTGCTTCACTCTTTACTTTGACTCAAGCCGATTTGCTGCTGCTAAGAAGATAGCGGTCGCAGTCTAGAAAGAGCGTCGACTCCTATCAGCCTACCGGTGCGCATTCTGGCTACCAGGTTGATAGCCTGGGCATCTTTATCGCCGAAATAGAAAGAGAAATCGGTTCTCTTCTTCTCCTGTTCTCCTCACGCAATGAACCTTTCAAAATTTGCGATTGTGCATGAAGTTCATTGGGTAAAAATGTGAATTTCGTCTGCTAACGCATTCATTCACACATAATTTGGTCTGGCAACCCCCGAATGTCCAAGTTCGTCCTGGCTTGCTGCTCGTTTTTAGTAGATGAGGTTGATTTCCCCATCCCCTTGATAAAAAGAAAGGGACTACCAAAGCTAATATGGCATTAGCAAGACGATCAAATTGAGCCGGGGATATCTCTAGCTATAGGAAAGTATGAAGTAGCGCACTGGCAGTAATAGACTGTCGTAATAGGTGGTCTTCGACCAAAATACGATTGTGGACTTTCCGAAATAATTCACTCGTCCAATAGGTGCTATGAATGCAGAGAAGGGAAAGGGCTGTCCGACATAGCCTAAATTCAATATGTAAATCACACAGCATCAGCTTAAGATATTCACAGAGAAGCCCAATGGGGCAAAGAAAGCAGAGCACAGAGTGTTACTCCAAAAGATATTCCATGCATGGCATTTGTGCTGTATGGAATATTTTTCAGAGACACAGTGCCACCCAGCAAAAAGAAAAGCACGTAGCTAGCACGCTCAGATGAACAATCAGCAAGAAGAGTAAGAAAACCGAAGCCGGTAGAGACAAAATAGTTGGCGCTCATGTACATGCAAGGAAAATCCACCCATGTCCATATATCGAAAGACATGGGGAGGGAGAGTTGGAATAACGACTGTGGAGTTTTCAAAAGGAATGTGAGGGGGAGCGAATATCAACAGCAAGGGAACAGCTCTGCTTATTCCCATAACTCCCAGATAAAAAACCCCCAGATAAATGGTTGAGAATGAAACAAGTGGTTAATGACAAGGAAATAGATTTTGTATGGTGTTGGGAAAGGAAATTTGGGGACTTGTCTCACAAGAGACAAGTTTAGAAAGGAGAGAGAGGGAGGGAGGGCTTGGTTGGTGTTATGTTTTTTATGTGCAAGAAAGGACAACCATTGATTTCGATCACAACTCGGACTTGACTGGTTCGTCGACTTTCCATTGGGCTTTGCGTTTGCCCATCATCTCTTCAAGGACTTCGAGACGTTGGCGTGTGGTACGAAGGACGTGATCCATCTCACGGTCAGAGACCTTCTCTTCCCGGAGCCGTTCAGCAAGCTCACGCTCATCACTTGTACTGACTCCATATGACCGGCGACTTGTGTGTGGCTCGGGTGATCGGTAGACGTTTGGAAAGACCATTCCGTCCATGCCAACTCGGTCTTCCAGCCAGTTCCAAAGCTCAGTCTCTTCACGTCGCCACATCTCCTCGTATGCGGCCAGTCTTTGAGGCAAGCCGTGACCGGGACAGCCGGCTTCATGCGAAGCCATAGATGATGACGATGACGATCGGAAGAACGCCATGTAGAACAAGATTACGATAATTAGGATAGCGAAGTTGCCACTCCATAGCGGACTGAGGATGCTGGTAAAGGGCTCCAGGAGGGGGCGGACTGGTTCGAAAAGTCCCCAGGATTCTTGCTTTCCAGCTTTGGAATCCATGGCAATCTTTGAGGAAGCCGCTGCAGTCGACTCCCGCCTTGCGCCATCGCCCTTCTTGCGCTTTCCTTTGCCTCGTCCAGCGCCGTTGGAACGTCCACGGGGAACAACTCCAACCTGCAGGGCTTTGAGAATGTCATTTCCAAAGGCCGTTTGCCCATCAATTGCGCCTTTCTCAATAGGGCCTTTAAGCCAACTCTTGCCTGACCACTCAATAGTACAGGTCATGAGGAAGCGAGTTTGATTGCCAGCAGCCCACGTAAAGAGGTACTTGGTTTTGGTAGCAAAAACGTTCCCGCTAGGCACATCAGGTGTTTGAGTGCTCAGAGTGACAAGAACGGCCTTTTCAAGGTCCAAGAAGTCCAGTGTCTCGGTACTGATGCATTTTGTCTGCCTCGGACCAATGGAGCCATTGAGAGGTTTGATGTACGAGTATTTCCTGGTTGGGACTTCCATCGTCAACCCCTTCGCTGTTCCTTCAAACTGTAGTTCTCCGCATTTCTGATTTTCGGCAAGGAACTTGGTCATAAACTCGCCAGACGCTGGGCCAAAAACCAAAGAGAAGACCTTGCCGAGCGGTGCCGGGATGACTTCATCTTTGATGACTTTTTCGTACTGTCCGTCGGCGTTAACGTATTCAGTGGGTGCATGTGTAGCTGGGCCTGGGAAATCAGGAGGCGCATCCTTGGAAACGCCTTTGTCGCCGTTCTTCTTATCGCCACTCTTTTTGTCGCCATTTCCATTTGTTCCGGCCGCAGGAATAGCTGCATTCGCGGAAAGGCTTGAAGCCTTGCGGCTCAAACCTGCTCGTGGCAAGGACACTGCACTGGCGTTGGCACTGCCGCCGGCCTCAAAGAAGCTATCGGCGTTGTCCCCTTCCTCGTCCTCGTCGTATATTTCATCTTCATCGCTGGGATCGGTCTCAGACTCGCTCTCCTCCTCCCCAACCTTCTCTGTCTTATCGCCGGTACCATTGGTCACACGGGTTCCATTCACAGAGCTCTTGATGGTGGGGTGGTTGATCTTCCAGATGTTGACCATCAGGTCGTATGTGGACTCGCGACTAAGCAGACTGCGGAAAGTATGACGTGCGTGGAGTGTCTGAATTGCAATAGCATTGGGGAACACCATAGCTGTATTCTCCTTTTCAATGGCAACAACCTCATCGAAGCTGATCACTAGAGTCGTGACCCACCCCAGGATGTTACTGGAGAAGCAGATGTGTCCTTCTGAGATATAGATGCGGCCGGCAAGAATGATCTCACGTTGCAGGGCGCAGCTGTAATCTTCAATCAGATAATCGTCTTCGGGTACACTCCGGAATAGTTGGTGGAAATCTCGATTGCGCTTTTTACTCGCAACCGCAAAGCCGGTCAATCGAGGTACACTAGAATTGATACCAGGAGCACCAAGTGCAATGGCATTAACCCCAATGGCTCCTATTGTCGAGGCTGTGGCCCCAGACGAGCCCCGATGACGCCGAGCAAGTCTGCTGCGCACACTGCCAGTGCGTCTGAGACCCCCGCTCAGGTCACCATCAAGGACACTACCACTAGGGGGAGTCTGATCACCCATGATTATGCCATCTTTCGGAAGCGACGTCGTAGACTGGATCTCCAGAGCATCTTCTAGATCCGAGGGCTTTTCGTATGCTACTTGAACAGCGCGCGCCGCGCGTTTGTCTTCCAGTTTGGCAGCCTCCTCGTCTCGCCGGGAAACAGCTGTGTTGTTGCGCTTGTCAACGGGGTTCCCTGGCTTTGTGATCACCACACCGTCGGCAGTCGTGATTGACTCACCTGGTCGTGCGTCAATGTCCAGATGGCTGAAGTTCAGATCGCCTGCCCCAAGAGTCTCTACAGCAGATGGTCTCCCGTCCGCAATCTTGCTACCGTTATCTGATGTTCTTTCACTCTCCTCCGAATTGGACCCATTGAGGGATCTATCACCATCAGCAGGAACAGGTTGAGAAGTGGGTCGATTTCTCTGTTGTGCGTTGATGCTATTGCTGAAGGAAGTAGCAGCATTTTGCGCAACTGAAAACACTGAAGAAAAGAAGCCGGTTTGCTGGGTTGAACTCGGACTCTTTGCGCTGGGTGGTTTTTCTTCAAGTGGTGTCAGTGCAACAGACATTGAGTTGGACAGTTTGCTTGGGCCATGAGCTGCAGAAGCGGACCGCACCCGGCGGTGGGAGATCATATTTCCAGAGGGGCTCACGGTGGTGACTCCAGAAGATGGGGAATTTTCAGATTGTATGGACTCGGGCGAGTCGGTAACATTATTGGACAGGATTTGCGCACTGAGAGGGCGGTGGTCAGTTGGGGTTGGAGGTGTTACAGTGGTCGCTGGCGCAGGAATAGCGGTATGAGGCGGGGTGTTCGGCATAGGGCTCGCTTCAAGCGAACGAGGCTTGTCGTTCGTTAGATCAGTACGAATTGGCGCAGGCAAAGGCGGAACGTCATCAGGGGGTGCCTGTACTTGTTTCGATGAAAGACTGCTCCGTCGGCTGCCTCCGAACAGACCCCGCCCGCTTTTGTGGCCGGGCTTGGTTGATGAAACCTCGGGGTCCTCATGATTGCCTTTCTTATCCGAGGTGAATGCCTCTTTGAAGCGTCGTCCAGGTGATGCACTGCGTTTCTTGCCATTCTGGTCCGTGGGGACATCCAAGGCCATACCCGATGTTGCGCGTCGGGACATTCTTTCACTCGGGTTTGATTCTGATCCAGTGGCACTTAGGCCGCTAACAGCTGACTCGGCATCAGCATGAGAGTTTTCTGTCTCTGCGGCGTCCACCGATGTGGTCTTGAACAAAGGGGAGGAGGAGGTGTAGAATCCGGTATGGGAGTTATGTGAGGTGAGCGGCGGAGGCCTAAACGAAGCCAAAAAGTACAGCGAGTTAGGAGCAGTCCAAGATAATAAAAAGGTCAGCTGCTCAACTTACCCGTCCGGCTCGTCATCATCGGTCAACAGATGATTACCTTCACCTTCCGGCGCAAAGCTCTCTGCGATCGACGACGGGGCTGCGGAGGTCCCATCCCGAGATTCATTGGACCGGCTTTCGTGTAGGTCGTGTTCCACAACGACAGTCGGCACCGCCGGCTCGTCTGTTTTTTGATTCTTCTTTTTATTCTGTTTCCGCCTCCGACGCGCATCGAGTAGCTTTGAGAATCCACTGGGTCCAGCCTTGGGATCTACTTCTCCGCCCTGGGTTTTCGGTCTCTCGAGGGTAGAATCATGGGATGACCGACCATTGCTTTCGATTGCACTTGACTCTGCAGATATTGTCCAGGAGCGACGCGATCTATTTTCACCTTTCAAGCTTGAAGACGAAGAGTCGGCCATGATTGAAGAGGGAATGGGGATCCGGGGGGGTTGGTGCGGGCAGACCGGGAGACTCAAGGGAAAGTTGTCATGAGGTGTATGTATTGAAGACTTTCTCTCTCTCTTTTTTCTTTTTGAAGGTACTTCCGTACATTGACGGGAAAACAAAGTAAAGAGAGAGAAGTGCCAAAGTGTTGAATTGTCCGATCCCCTAGAGCTCCGCAACTTAGTCACCCGCCAAGTTGGGACCTCAGACTTTGTCATTTTTTTTTCTGTTCAATTGGTTTTATTTTGATTTTATGATATTTGAAATAATATGACTCTGATTTCTCTGGACTCTGCTATTTCTTCTATTCTAGATCAAGGTAGTACATAGCCTAACAGTATGTGTAGCTATAAGCATCTACTCCCGCTTCTCCACTGTGTAGAATGTGGATGTGACATTTCGCTGCTTTCAGTTGAATTGAATATATAATATTTGTTCTAGAATATTGAAGATAATTGATTTTTTTTCCTCAAGTGTTACCTCGTGTACCTCATGTGTACTTCGTGTTCTATCAAAACCCCCCCTAACGCATAACGTCACTTCTCCAACATTCCCCAGATAAATCCTATCAAAGGAATACATCTGATTTTTCTCTCTTAACTCCTACAGTCAACCTTGTCTTTGCCATGGAAGTAGCTCCTTTGGCCTTGGTATGACCTTAGCCCCTCATTTTCGGCATAATCTGACCCTTGCCAGGCCCACACCCATGCACGGAACGCAGTATTAGAGACTCGCAAGGCCAACCCAGTAGCTGCCAGCGAGGAACATGATTTAGCTGCTGGTGAATTTGCAACAGCTGCACAGAGCAGCTCCGACCATGAGGTGAGTCTTGATTGAGTAAAAGATCTGCCCGGGCTCTGAGCTAACCGCGTCATATCAAGGCCCTACGGACTCTACGTTTGCTCGAAACTCACCACAAGAAGCTCGCAGAAATTCTCCGATTCCAGCATGAAAATCCAACCGCCATCTCTGCTGAAGCAGCATCTGCCACTGCCTCCTCATCCCTAGCGACCCAGCAGACCACAGCCGAGCTCGGCGGCACAAAAAGCGCAAGCGCGAACCAGGATGCACAACTCCCACCAAGATTGGTGGGCAACGCTCGTCTGCCAAGTCGAGATAAATCCTCTATTGCTAATAACTTGGCTTCTGCCCGAGGAATCCCCTCGCACCCGCGCCGTGGATCGCCAGTGTCGCCAACACTTACATCGCAACATGTCGCAGCAAAGATGACCGAGACACCGAGGGCTAAAGCCAACGAAACCAGGCTACCCAATGAACCAACCAAAAATCGGCACAGTCGTATTTCTGCTTCCAGACAACCATGGTCTCCTCCGACACCCAGTTCCACTGAAGTAGTTTCTCAGCAACCCGTACCTAATGTAGCTAAATCTGGGGGATCGAAAGATAAGCCTGCAATTGCTGACGAAGCATTCAACCGCTTCTACTCAGCCTTCGGGGGGCTGGTTTCTAAGGTGTCGGGGCCTTTGGCATTCGCAGGGATTCAAATGGGGTCTGCAGATCCAACCAGCGCTGAACAGAGCCGCAAGTCCTCGGCTGAGGTGAAACTGGACCGTGAACATGCTGTTCTAGACCGATCCATGACTGCGGGTGAGCCCGACGTGAATAAACTCTTTTCTCGAGCCGCGTTGCGGTCGATCCGGGATGGCTCTGGGGCAGGTCCTGGGAACCCAGCAGAGTCCTTCTACGTAGTCCCAACCACGGGCGGGACTATGTCATACGCAGGAATCCTGACCCGAGCTGAAAAGCAGGCACGCAGGAACAGCATCGAGGATGGTGATGATGACTTTGTGGATGCGCGAGAGACCCCCTCGTCTCCCGAAATGCGGCACAGTGCCAGTGGCTCGCGCATATGGGCGGGACGCCGCGGCGCACCCGATAAGCTTACCACTCAACAGACACACAAGACAATGGAAGAGATGCAGGTGGAGAATGAGACCTTGAGGGGTTTGACGGATTCACTGGCGACAAGATTGCATATGTGGGAGGTGAGCGCGCAATCTTCGTCGATGGCGCTGCAGCAATCAATCCGAATGATGCACCGCCAGAGCGCGGGGACACCTGATTATTTCCAGCCTACGACGGTCACGACTTCACCTGTTGCTACGCTGACTGCGCCACCCGCTGCGGCTGATACTGACGCGCGGATCAAAGAACTCGAGGAGCAGGTCCGGCGTAGTGAGCAGAAGCTTGAAACTGCTTCTCACGAGAACGACAAGCTCAAGAATGTTCTTGGGCGATATCGAGACCGTTGGGAGAAATTGAAGGAGGGTGCCAAAACCCGGAGAGCGGAGGGTCGCTCCGGTGAAAGTGCGAGCAATACCCCTACGAGTGGTGTTAGCAAGCCGTCGGAACTCTCGGCCTCTCCAGACCCTGGTCGAGGTCCCTCTGCTGGTCAAACAGGGTCTCGTGCTACAGGGGATCACCCGGCATAGCCTTGCAACATCCCTTCTGGTTGGTTGGAAGCAGCGTTTGGTCCTAAGGCTTGATCTTTTTTTTGTAGGAGATATGCCCATAACACATTTTACGAAGCTTCGAAACCAATTGATTATCATTTATTCCAATCAGGTAGTCTAGTAACAGAAAGGCTGCCCATCTAATCCTAGCCAGATGGGATTGCCCGGAGGGGATAGATGAGGTTAGGTAGATGAGGAGATGATTAGTGGATAGTGTATAGTACACGCCTATCTCTAAGGTTGTGCAATATAGTCGTTGAGAAGTAAGAGAGAATGTAAATTAATAATTGAAAATTCTCAAGTCTTTCATTTTCAAATATCGCGCAAGATATATACAACCAGCGACCTGACGCGCACTAAACAACATACACATCGAACTATGTAAACTATGTATTAAATACTAATTTCCCTCCAACATAAACCATTTAGCGGACAACAAACGTGGCGTTACCACGAATATCCTCGGAGCTGCTACCCACAAGGGCAGTGAAGGTACCGGGCTCAACAACATACTTCATGCGAGCGTTCCAGAGACCAATATCCGCAACCTTGATGGGGATCTTGACAGTCTTGGTCTTTCCAGCAGGAATGACAACCTTCTTGAAGCCCTTGAGCGAGCGGTTAGGAACAACAACAGAGGCAATGTTGTCCTGGATGTAGACCTGCACAACCTCGGTACCCTCACGGGTGGCATGGGTGTTGGTCACATCAACGCTGACAGTGACAGTCTTCTCAGATGCAGAGATGGACTTCTTGTCAACCTTGACAGTTCCATACTTGAAGGTGGAGTAACTCTTGCCGTAGCCGAAGGGGTACCAGGGCGAGGCGTCACCGAGAACGTATGAGTGACCGAAGACGAGAGTTCCGTTCTCATACTTGTGGCCGACATCGCCCATGGAGCGGCCGGAGTTGAGGTAATCGTAGAAGATGGGGAGATCACCGACGTAGCGGGGGAAACTGACGGAGAGCTTGCCGGAGGGGTTGTAGTCGCCGAAGAGGACGTCGGCAAGGGCGTTACCACCCTGCTCGGAGGGGTAGAACTGTTGCAGGAGGGCAGCGGTAGAGTTGGAGATCCAGGTGTCGGTAATGGGCTTTCCGCTGGAGAGGACAACGATGGTTGGCACGCCGGTGTCGGCAATGGCCTTGATCAGAGGTCCCTGGGCGCCGACAAGGGCCAGATCATCTGTGTCAACGTGCTCTCCGGTGCTTTGTGTTTGTTAGTATTGACACTTCGAGATATATCCTGAACCAGGCTGGGTTTACTCACGTAGCGTTCAATCCTGTCCAGAGTTCTCCCTGATCGCGAGACCAGGTTCCGACAACAACAACAGCCACGTCGGACTTCTTTGCGGCCTCAATTGCCTCTGCAAAGCCTGACTGGTCATTGCTATCACGCCTGCATCCCTTGGCGTAGTGGACCTGAGATTTGTCCTTGACTGCAGCCTTGATACCTTCGAGGGGAGTGACACCGCGGTATTGACTCTTGTAGACAACGTAGTCGCCGTACTATACACGTCGTTAATAATCCCAGTAGCAAGCGGAATAGGAATGTTGACTTACGTTCACGAGATCAGCAGCCATAGGCCCAATGACCGCAATCTTGCTGGACTTCTTCAGAGGCAGGATGTTCTCGTGGTTCTCAAGAAGAACGATAGACTCCGTATCCAATTCTCTAGCAATCTTCACAGCCTTGGGGCTGTTGATGAGCTTGGGCCACTGGCTCTTAGGAGCAGCAGGGTAGGGGTTCTCGAAGAGACCCATCTCGAACTTGACCCGGAGCAATCTAGCGACAGCAGTGTCCACAAGCTCAACGTCGAGTTTGCCGGACTCGACAAGCTCGGGAATCTTCTTGAAATTGCTATTCGATAGTCAGTGGCTGTATCTCCATCGTGCGGGTTCCAATAAAACTTACTACGAACCGCCGCCCATCTCAACGTCGGTTCCAGCACTCAGCAGCTGCGTGACAACCGCTTCGCTATCAATGGGGTTGCTCTCGCAAAGCTTGAAGTAGGAGCACACTCTGTCACTGCCACCGGCATCGGTCATGACGAAGTATTCATATCCCCATTCTCCGCGCAGGATCTCGGTGAGAGTGTGGTAGTCAGCGACTGCTGGAATTCCGTCCCACCTAAAAATGGATGTTAGAATGGCGATATAAGGCAAATCGGACCAGGCTGGACTTACGAATGGTACGCAGCCATGATGGAGTAAGCACCGCCATCGATGATAGCACGCTTGAAAGGAGGCAACCAGCTATGCAATGATTAGTCAACTGCTTAGTGCTTAGTTTTCAAGCTTGGGGCCGACGTACGTGGTGCGCAACTCTCTTTCACCGCCGTGAACTGGGCCGGTATTGAGTCCCTGCTCGGGGGCGCTGACACCCGCAAAGTGCTTGACCATAGCCGACACACCCTTGCCCTGCACTCCCTTGACGTAGCTATAACCAATTTCGCCGGCGAGGTAAGGGTCCTCGGAGTAGGTTTCTTCGACCTTTTTGCGTCTGTTGTTAGCCTCATTTCACTGAATGTATTAACATATAGATGAAACTCACACGACCGAATCGAGGCTCACGAGCGAGATCAACAACAGGGGCGAAGAGCTGGTTAACACCAAGTGCTTTGGCTTCCTGTCCGATGATTTCTGCCATACTTTCGATAAGCTGCGCAATACTGTGTTAGATCGCAAGAACTGTATGCATGACAATGCAGGTATGGTAGCCGCTTACATCTGTGTTCCACGAGCATCCAATTCCAATGGGCGAATTGAAGATGGTGGCATTACCAATCATGAATCCATGAATACCTGGTACAAGAAATGTCATGAGCTCGGGGTCCAACATAGCTGGAAACAGTATCCTTAGAGTACATACCCTCACTCTGAACAATGGCTGGAATTCCCAGAGTAGTATTTTGGACGAGGTAGTCCTGTGCTCTCTTGATATTATCGGAGAGCCATTCCCAAGGAACATCCTGTCCGGCTGCAAACCATTAGTATTTGTGTTTCTGCGGACTGGTGGAAAAGGACCCAACAGTTAAGCAGAGGACTTCATACCATAGAACATGCCTGCCTTCAGCTCCATGTTGGTGACCAGGCCGGTGTAGTTGAATGCCCCCGAGGTTGTGTTCATCCAATTAGAAAGATCGCCTGTACAAGAATGCATCAGCAATTAGAACCTCCCTATGGCGTGAATTGAGATAAAGCCATACCCTGGATCAACTGGGACATCTTGTCCTCAATAGTCATCCGGCCCATCAAGTCCTTCACTCGATTTTCCACTGAAGCCTTGGGATCCTTGTAGAGAGGGGTGTTGCTCGGTTTTCCCAGAGCTAGGGCAGCAAAGAGCTGCACGAGCAGCAGCCCATTGGAAAGCATATTGGCCACCATTTTGATGACAAGACAACTTCTTTTCCAAATTCAATGGACAAGAACTGTTGTCGATTGACTAGGGTGAGACTGGAACGAAGAAAAATAAATTCCTGGGGAAGCTCTTGCATATAAGTTCATGCAGGCCCGCAATAGAGATCCTTGCACTGTGGATACAGGCAATTCGGCTAGAGACTAGTCGCATCGCATGACATGATTTAATGATCCTGCTAATTGAAGTAGATTGAAAAAAGCAGGTAGCTCACACCATTGTGCAGCGGAAATGAAGCCGTCTTCAGCACCAGAACGGATCAAGCTAGCCTCAACGGCTGCAGTAGTGCGCCGCTTGGCGTCGTTTTGAACCGAGCTAACACTATCAGGAGACGGAGCAATATCCCCGCCTCCACACTGGCATGGCGGTCTGGGGTTGAGGGGAAATAATTGTCGGCTGTCCGGTTAAATTCACTTGAAAAGTGGAGGAATAATCAAGACATCTGGGGTAACTGGCTGGGCCTTCTGGGCGGTGGCATGTGTTTTCAGCTTTTTCCACCTATTAGGGCTAGCCGTTTCATCCGGGAGATGAGATACTTCCGGAACACGGGGCTGAAGAATTATGTGTGGCAGGTGATCAATATGGATAAATTGGAGGGATAAGAGGCTAAAAGTAAGATTAGTGGCTAATAACGCTGAGAGCTCCTCCGTGGATGAAGTATACAATGTGAAAAGAAATAATACATTGATAAATGCTTAAACGATATACCCGAATGCAATGCCAATTACAAGAATGTACCGATAGAAATCTATCAGAAAAAGTGCCAAGGAGAGGGAGGAAAGAGGAAAGGGGGGGAAATGTAGAGTTCAAGTGAGACGACCACTTTAATGAACTGCACTAATGCATCTGAGCTAGTGAATCCCGGAGTGATTATCGCCGAGCTCCTGTCTCGGCAGAATCACCGGTGTTGTAGCTTGGACCAGGCTGTGTCTCATTCTCTGGTGTGGGCGTTCCTGTAGCAGCAACACTGTCGGCTGTTTTGGTGTTCTGGGTTTTGCGGAGAGCACCACCCAGCCACGCAAGCCCACCACTCCAAGAGTCACTCAAGCTGCGAAGACGGGTCACATCTTCATTGGTGAGCTGAGCGGGTGTGGTATTTACGTCTGTCGCGGTATTGATGTCTGTTGCGAGAGCTGACATGGAACGGCCAGCCTCCGCGGGTCTGTCCGCTTGGTGGGTGGCGGACTGGAGTCGAGCAGTTGCAAGTGAAAGCGCCCTGTCATTGTTTCCCTCGACCAGGGACGGATCTGCGAAAGCGCCATCGATTTGACGCCGACGTCCCAATCTCCGCCTTGGTCGATCCTTAAGAGGGCTACCATCGCCACGCCGGATGGAATCAGCGACCACTGCGGTGAAGCCACCGGAAAGTGTGGGAAGCAGAGGCCCAGGAGAGAAACGATGAGAAATAGAGCTGCGCAAAGCACGCCGCGATGGTGTTTCAAGGGGAGTCTCATTGCGAACGGGGTGGTTGGTTTGGTCTAAATGTGTGGGGGTTGAAGCACGTCGTACGGTACCAGCGTTTCCATTGGTCCCTGCTTCTTCAAGACCAGGTGCAGGAGGGAACCGCAAAAGGACGGTTGAGGATTGTACTGCCTCATCTTCCTGCCCGGGAGGAGTAACGGGGCGGATATCAGACTCCGGTGTCACGACAGCCTGACCCTGGATGTCTGCCCATGGGTTGGACATACGAGATGGGGGTCGCAACGGTGAAGTGTAGTCAAACGATGGAGCAGACAGAGGGGATGCATCGATTAAAGATGCACGAGGCGAAGAGGGCGCGGCGGAAAGGATACCCCTAGGAGTAGACTGATCATCATCAAGTTCATCGGTGCCTTGGCTCAATATGGACCCTCTCGGAGACTGTGGAACGTCATATTGTGCTCCTGTGGAAACATCTGATGTCTTCGGCAATTGGTGACCAGGCGGAGACAAATCAATTCTGTCATGATATCTTTCGCCATTGAGCAAACCAATGGACCCTTCCTCGTCTTCCGATGAGAATGACGACTCGTCGTCACCGCGGACTCTGCCGCTCGTGATGAAGGAAACCCCCAGGAAAGTCAACAGACATCCGCCAACAAATTTCGTAGCGCGATCGGCCGTTATCGATTCAAAATCACGGTAGAGGACCGCACTTCCTATGATGACAGCAAGAGTGAAGAGAACAAACTGCGTCGGGATCACCTGGGTGGAATCGAAGCGTTGTAAAGCACGATTGATGTAACGGACTTGCATCAATGCGCTGAAGACAAGGACGAAGACAAGGAGATAGGTGATAGGGAATGTAATAACATGCCACAATGTGCCAGACAGAAGCGAAGAGACACCCTTCGTAGAAAGAGCCGTGTATCCGCCTGTGTTATACGAGTTAGCAACAAGATACAAAACAAGAGCTCCAAAGCTAGAAATCATTAGATAGAGACTTACCAAACAATGCAACGAGCCCAACATCGATGAGAATTGATCTCGAGCCATACCGGTGGCTAGCCCACATGAGACCGATAATCAACGAGGTGGTCAATCCGAGATAGAGCTGGAACTCCCATCGTGTGATGTTCACCCAAATTTCATGAGGTCCAAGTTGTTCTTCGGACGATTTAGCACTGAGAACCACAACGACGGCACCAGCAATAGAGACGAACACGCCCCAGAGATCCCGTTTGCGAAATTGCTCCTTGAGCAAACATGGCGCAATAATGCAATTCGATATCAAAGCCACAACACCCAAAGGCGAGACAATCGACGCCGGTGCAAATCCGTAGGCCATGAAATTGCCCATTTCTCCCACGACCATGAGCACGATTCCAACCCACCAGTACGGAGATTTGAGGTATGATTTGCGGTTACCGTCTGCACCATCCTTGCTTCCGGTGCTATTATCCCGCGTGGTCGAACCACTATTCCTCCCCTCGGTGTCGTCGCCATCGTCGCGATAAGGCTCGAAAGCATCCTGCTCAGAGTCTCGGTACTGGTCCCGGGACCTTCCCCTCGACCCAGCACGCGTTCCGTTGTTTCCAAGTTCACCGTTGCGATTCTTGTCCTGTTCCCATTCTCTTGCGATCCGAATATGGGCGTAGCGTTGGATATTGAGGGCTAGTGAGATCAGAACGTTGCCGCATAGAGCCGCGATAATGCCGATCAGTGATGACCATTCATGCATGCTTCCCCCCTTACCCCCATCGTGGTCATGAGGAGTTTCTGAGCTGGAATTTGATGGCGCGACGAAGAGTTGATGGATAGAAGAAGCCGCGAGTGTGGATGATGTCGTGGGGGAGACGGCCGAAGAAAGAAGACCAGGCAGCAGGCTTGCTACCAACGATGACTGGAAGGATGCCATTCGTTCGTCTGAAATAATGCGATCCCAGTTCTCGAGTACTGCTTATCGCACGCTTTGGCGGGGAAGCCTAGTTGTCAAGCACCCCTAACACACCCCAGCTCTCCGGCGGTACAGCCGATCAAAACGAGCTCCCAAATTTGTCGGTGGGCATTTGGTCTTAAGTCGCAAAAGACCGCATTCTGTTCCGAATGATCCGACTTTCTCACGTGAAGATTATCACCACAAATAAGGCTAGTAAGATGTATGAAGAGGTTTGGGTAGGCGGCAATACACAGAGCGGAGGCGCGGAGATACGTTGATATGTCAGCACCGAACGCCCGGGGGCCAGGGCCATATTTCCAAAGCTTCCCAGGTCCCGTGCCACTGGAGCCTACGCGGTAATTTAGCGTTTCACAGTGCAGATACGAATTGAATCAAAGTCAAAGGCGACGTTTGCGCGAGGTCAAAGCTCTTGTGTTTCTTTCTAAAGCTATCATTGGTTCGGGTGGGCAGTTGATCGTCGGGCTCTTGGGGAACGTCATGGAGCAACAAAGAGGGGACAACTCAGCGCGAATGGAAGGAACTGGGTCTGCTTAGGATTCCTATGAAACGACAAGTTAAATTACATATTGTGTATTGCACAGGCAGCTGGATTTGAGTCATTGCAAATTTTTGATATCAAAATCATGGCGAATATATATGTAGTACATTCCCAACCGGATCATCGCTTTGCTTTCTTCTTTTCCGGTCCTTGTTCTTCGCCGTCACTCAGTTCCGCGTAGATGGCATTTGGTTGTGTTTCCTTGTATGCCTTGGTGAATATAGGCTCCTTCTCCGCCTGGTCGGCATATTTCAAGAGTGCTTCACGTGGATCCTCGTCTCGCATGGAGCTCAATGGGATATGCTCCAGGATATGCTTCTCATCTGGGGTATTTTTGGCAAATGGCGTCTGCACCGGCATATACGGTCGGCGAGGATCTCGAGAGCGACCAGAGGCTGTAAAGCCAACAGTAGGGTGGCGAGCAGACCTGGTTGCCGAGCTGTAATGCGGAACACCATTGGAACCGACGACCACTGAATCACCTGCTAATCCCTGGTTCAAGTCCGCGGCGATGGCAATCTCATCCACATGACGGAGTTTTGGTGCTTTGGACATAACCGTCGCTGCGCCTTTCGTGGACATAGTCGGGTTATAGAGAACGTGGGTTTCGGCATTGGCGGAGCCCGTCATAATCTGGTTGAGCTTTTCGTGCCATAGGACGGTAATCAAAGGCGATCCTGGTGTCACAGGAGTCACGAGCTCTGGCTTGAGAGTAGCGGGGTTGAGGATATACAGGTGGCCGGTTTCAGAGCCTGTGATGACATTGGCCGAGGAAGGAGAGAACTGAATGTTGGATGTTGGGTAGCGGGAAGATGTCGAGGTATGTTTGACGGTTGTGACTGGAGTCTTGAACTTTCTGGTATCCCAAAGTTTGATCGTATCATCACCACCCCTAGTGACAACAAGCCTTCCATCGGAACTGATATCAAGACCGCTTGTCCATGTATCTTTGACATGAGCATCCCGGATTTCTGCGCTGGGTCTCGTGTATGGGCCCTTTCCACTCCACATAACTAGGCTCCCATCGAGACCCGCACCTACCAGAATGTCGG